CATATCCCAATTTTAATTTTTTTATTTTAATCTTATGTATGTTAAAAAGGAAATTTCCAAAAATGAATATTCTTTTTTTTCTTTCAATTTCGTAAAAACAAATATATATTCCGAAAATATTGTAAAAAAAAAATATTTTTATTCAATTTGAAGGTTAAAATTGGAATATAAAAATAGCAAATGTTATTGGGACTAGAAATTATAGGTAGAAGGTTAATTTACAAAACACTAATTCAAATCGAGTCAATTTAGCAAATTTTCCATATATCTTTACATACTACAATAAATCATTTTACGTTGTTGTTGCAAGGACGATGAGATGTTGGAGGAGAGAATAACTTACGGTTCTAAGATAATATTTATTGGCGAATTGTTGTGATTTTATTTTTCAATAATTGGAATGTCGTATTTATTTTTGTTTAGAGCTAGTAATTATAATCGACTCATGTAAAAACATATATGCACTTTTTCAACAACAAAAAAAAACATATATGCAAAATGCAGTATTTCAATTTTTTTTGCCAAAAGATATTTCATATTAAGTTGTCATATTTTTTAAGGATTATAATTGCCGCTATAATTTTTAAGGATTATAATTGCAGTATTTCAAGTATATTCATTTTCCGTGCCAGCTAATCTTTGATATATTTAAGAAAAAATTGCTTACGTAAAAACAATTGTTTTGTAAACTTAAATTTCAAACATTAGCCATAAAATCGCCGATGAAATTGGTTATAAATTTTTGTAGTTTTTTAAATTGAGAAAACACATATCACCAAAGATTAATATGGATACATGCAATGATTATTTTCTAACCCTAATATAAATCTATAGAAAAAAATACATATACAAGTTTAGTTGTTTGTCCCCAATCGTAGATAGCTTGAAACCCTGACCCTATATACATTGAGAACACATTTCATTTTATATATATGTACCTATGAATTTTTTTGAACGTCATGGCAAAGATTTATACACAGAGATAAAAGTTTCAAGAAATGAGACGTAAATAGCTCGATTAACCTTTATTCTGTGTTATCATCAACAACAATTTAGATGAGCAAAGCAATTACGCGTTGACAATAATTTCTGGACTACAATATAAGGAGAATCTTTGATTTGGGTGTATGTGTTGGATTTCAACATAATTTCATAACAAAATGGTCTTAGATGAGGAACCATCATTTAGTATTTTGTGACTAACAAGTACACC